TTCATGTACACTGAGCGCGACGCCACCACCCATAGTGAACCCATACGCATAATGGAAATGAATGGTTTGCTGTATGTAGCTATGAGGTGATCCAGCTTGTATTCAAGAGAAAAATATTCAGTGGCCTGCTTCTGGCCCTCTGGGCCTTCAGCACATTTTTCAGCAAGAGCTGCAATATCACCGCCGGCACAAAATGCTTTCGATCCGGCACCGGAGACGATGATAACGTTCGCAAGTTGGGATTTTTCCCATTCCTAATGAAAATGACCAGTTATTCAACTCACCCCAGAAAAGCTTCAGCGCTTCGTAGAATACACAGCACGCCGCATACCTTTAGCCTGGGTGTAATCTTCCTTACCATCGAGCCATTCAAAGCGTTCAGCTTCTTGGGTCGATTGAGCTCGATGGTGCGCACTCCGAAAAGACTGCTGAATAGTACATCATCTGGTTCATCTCCGGGAAGTTCTCTGGGGATTTCTGCTGCGGCTGTAGATATCTGTATGAAAACCACGGAGGATTAGCAACTGTGAAAATAAAAATGGAATCTGCACTCATACCTTCGATAATCCAGACAATGCTGGGACCGCAACTTTGGCTTTCAACGGCATTCCCGCTGCAGGACGGGTAGAGCACCAGCTTAACGGTGTGGGGGACCGGGGAAAGTAAGGACGAAGGAACATCAATGGCGATTGATTGTTGTAGGGCAGTCTAATAGGGTCTAGCAGATTGTTGTGGTAAATATTTGGGTTGATTGAGGCAAAGATTGTTGTCGCATGGCCAATTGATGATGTTTACTGGAAAAATTGCTGCGACTCGGCGGTTCTTGTTCCGTTTCGGTTGACGTCGGCAAGGGAATCCGGAGCCCTTTCTGTGCTGCAGCCACCATTTGGCCCGTGGTTACAACAAGATCTCTTTAGGATAGTACGGAGTAGCAAATTAGTGGATTATATCACAATACGAGTTTATTATTTTTAAATGTGCATTCAGAATGGAGCCTAAAGCAAATACTCTGGGGGCAAATCTATATCCTCTTTAAGATTTGACCAAGCTCTAAAATACAAACAACACAGGGCCAAAATGATATAATAGTAAAAGACAATCCCGTCGCCAAACTATCCTACAGAATCAGATATGTTTAATGCCCAATATGTCATCACGCCCGCGCAGGTCTGGTCTTCAGGTCCCTAGAATGACGGAATAACATTCTGTCCAATGCCGTTTTCTCAACAATTAACCGGCCAGTTTCGAGGAGGTCTTTCACATCAACATCTTCCCGGTCCAATACTCGTGCGTGTTGCCCAATTTGTGCCACAGCTTTAAACAGTCTTTCTTTCTTCACCTCCGTGATTATCAACGACCGTCCAAAATACTTGCCCCATTGGTTTTTCTCGAAAACCTCGGTGAGCCAGTGTGGACTGACCTCTTGTGGGAAGGTGATGTTGTCATTGACTATAATAAGTTGCCCACGTCGATACCGGTAACTCAGAGCTGTCCGCCATGCCAGATCGTAGACTTTCTTGGGCAGCCCCGTCGAGAAGTCTCGGGGATGAGGGCCATGAGCAACACCACCACCTCTCAACATTGGTGACTTTCTATCTCCCAGCCGGGCTCTTCCAGTGCCCTTCTGCGGTCGTATTTTCCGACCACTACCGTGGACGTCGTCTCTCCACTTTGTACTAGCAGTCCCCTGTCGAGTTTTATCGCCTTCGTAGACAATCGCACGATGTAGTATATCCCGCCTCAATGGCAGAAGAAGGTGTTGATGGCTGTATTCGAGGAATTTAAGGGGCT